CTGGGTTGCACTAGATGACCCCTAATGTCCCTTCTGAGTCTGTTAGAAATCTGTAGATCCCAGGGATAAAATATGACCTTTCCCATCCCCTTGAAATCTCCTTGAAATTCCCACCAAGAGGAGTCTAGCTTGGGGAACAGATATCTGATTGATGGGCTGGAAGAAACAAGGAGGAAGGGTGACGAGGCTGTCCTGAAGACCCTCTTGGCTCGTCATCCCCCGTCCCCTGGCTCCCCAGTGTCTTGCCCCCCAGTCTGACTCTCCTCGCTGGCACGGGCCATTTTCTGTTCCCCTTTTCTTTTTTATAGCAACGCACACACCGTGCTGACATATCTTTTATTCCCTCTTTCAACAGTTACTGGAGGTACTAGTCTAACTGAAGCCATATTGATGACAGCTCCTCTGAGACCCAAGTATGTCAGTACTTGAGAAGGTTTCCCTTCCAAGGAGCTCACCCATGTCCAGAGGGTTACAGACTTGCAAACTCAAAAATTAAACGGCCATTATGATCCCTCTTTCTGGTTTCATCCGAAATGGTTTAAGGAATAGTTGGCAGTATTCATTCTTTCAAAGCCAGTTATTAATCAGGGCTTCATTAGCTAGCATTCACACATTTGTTCTCCCAACATCTGTTCCATTAATTTTCTAAGAACCAGTGTCAGACCCACCAGATGGCAATTTCCAGAAACACTCACTCATCCTTTCCTACAGCTCAGTAGCGCATGTGCCTGTGTCCAGGCCTCTGATCTCCCGCCCTGTCCATGACTTCCTAAACCCCCCCGGGGTGATTATGGGCTTGTTCCAGCCGTGTTCATTATGTGTGGAATCTGGGTCTCTGGGCTTGAGTTTCAAGTTCTGGCTATTGTTACCACTTGTGTAGAAAGTTTTTCTCTGGGTGTTAATGCTGCTCAGACCTTGAGGTTGTAAAGAAATGACAGGATCTTCCTGTCTCCTTTATCTGGCTCTGAGGGGGTGGGAAAGAGCACGTGCAGCCTTCTGTCTTGTGGATGGAGGTTCAGAGGACAGCAGGGTGACAGAGGCTGGCATAGCGTGTGCTGTCAGGGAAAGTAACCCTTAGAGAGACAGGAGCCAATGGTGATAGACCAGCTTAGTCTGAAGAAACATCTGGGGGGTCTGCCAGGCTCCAGACGTGTGGGCTCCTTGTCACACCAGTGCTGTCTCATTAGATCCAGAGTGTCACTTTCTGTGACTGCCTACTGTTAATAATATAAAATCCAGCCCCTCGGTCTGACGTTTCAGCCTCCCCACAGGTGGACCCCAATCTACTGTCTTGACCTTGTCTCACGGGCTCCAGCCTGGCTGCTTCAGGTCCCTCTTACTCACGTGCGTTTGCTCCCCTCCCTGCCTGTGCTTCCAGCAGTCCTTTCCTGTAAAATTCTTTCCTCTGCATCCTTAGACCCTTTCCTCCTGCAGGACCCAGATCAAATAATCACCCAGATTAAATAATCACCACTTCCACGAAGTGCTCTCAACCCTCTCCCTCCTCTGACCTGTTTGCAGCGACTCCTAGGCTTCTCCAAAGGCCCTTAGCACTTTCCCTCTGGTCCTGTTGTTTGGTCCATGTACTAACAGCCTCCCCTGGATATTAATCTCCTTGAAGGCAGGGGCCCTGTCTCTTCCTTTTCGCTTCCCAGTGTTAGCCTGTGCTTGGCACACAGTATTTGTTCACTGCATGTCTGATGAATGAATGAATGCCTGAATGAACAAACGCATGAATGAGTCAACTAGCTAACAATGATTAAACTGCTAGAGGAAATTGCTGATATCACTGGAGAATCTGTATTTTCTAAAAGAGTAGGAAAGCAGGTTGGAGAGCCTGCCAGAGTGGGGATGGCGAGGTGAGGGGTTGGAGGGGCCAGTTGTTAGTGCCATGTCCTGGGACACCATGTCCTGCTTCACCATGAGGCCTGTGTGTGGTTCCAGGGCCACCCCGGATCTTCCTTGGGTTGCCACCTTTAGGTCCGAGGCCTCAAGCTTCTAGAGAGGTCACAGGTGGAACCCTGGCCCCTTGGTGAGTGTCCGCTGGCGGCACACTGTCCCTGTGGGTCTCGCTCATGCTGTGCCTCCCCCCACTGCTCTGCCTCCTAGATGACCTGGCCGTCTGTCCCAAAGGAATCACGTCCAAGATTTTCCGCTTCAACGTGTCCTCAGTGGAGAAAAATGAAACCAACCTGTTCCGAGCGGAATTCCGGGTCTTGCGGATGCCCAACCCCAGCTCCAAGCGCAGCGAGCAGAGGATTGAGCTCTTCCAGGTGAGCCCCCTCCCAGGACAGACACCACTCAGGCGGGAAAGCTGGTTCCTTGGCCAGATCGGGCCTCCACGCTGCTCAGAGTTCAGCAGACCTGGGTGTGAATCCTAGCTCCTCTGAGCCTTAGTTTCTGTATCTGTGTCTGTCGTTAAGAGGATTAAGACTTAACCGAGGAACTCAAAGGAACATTTAAGAAGTCTTAGTTTGCTGTTGCTGCCCCTCTCCGTCCTCCTACATCATGACACGTGGGTGCCCTGTCCTGGCCTCGGGACTTATTCCTTCCTCTGCCCTGTAGATCCTCCAGCCGGATGAGCACATAGCCAAGCAGCGCTATCTTGATGGCAAGAATCTGCCCACGCGGGGCACTGCTGAGTGGCTGTCTTTCGACGTTACAGACACTGTGCGTGAATGGCTCTTACGAAGAGGTAGGTGGACTCAGGATGAGCATTTTAGAAGGAACCTCAGGTCTCTTGGTCCTTCATGACACAGAGGGAAGAGGCCAGAACTAGGGGAGACACAGATCTGGGTTCAAAGCCTAGCTTTGCCAATGACCTGTTGTGTGTCCTTTATTCGTTCACTCAACTGATATTGACTAAATGCTCACTCTGAGCCAGGCCCTGGGGATTCAGCAGTGAACCAGGCAGGTGAGGTCCCAGATCTCATGGGGCTTTCGGTGGGAGAGACACGTAGTAAACAAGTAAACATATTGATGAATAAGACTTTTATATATATTATAGTGATAAGTACCAGGAAAAACAGAAAGAGGGCAAAGTGATAATGACTGGTGGAGTCCAACATCAGATGTTCAAGGAGTCTCTATGAAGAAGGAATTTGTGCACTGAGATATGAGGGACAAGAAAGACCCAGTCTGTGAAGGTCAGGGTAAAGGATGTGCTAAGCAAAACCAGCGAGAAGCAGCAGGAGCCTGACTGGTGTGGCTGCAGCAGAGTGAGCTGGGGGGGTCAGAGAGGAGCCGGAGCCATATGATGTAGGACCTGTAAGGCCACGGTCAGGTGTCAGGACTTATTCCAAGTGTGATGATGAGATGTCCTGGGCGGGTTATAGCAGGGCTGGGGATGTGGGGGTGAGGTGATTTGGTTTACATCTTTCAAAGACCCTCTGGTTGTCATGAGGTCAAGGGAAGAAGTTAGGGGCCGTTGTAGCAGCTCATGTGACAGCAACATGGGCTTCGTCCGGGGCGGTAGCCGTGTGTATGGAGATGATATGGATTTGTTCTGTATTTTGGAGGTGGAGCCAATAGGACTGACTGGTGATTAGATACGGGGTGAGAGGACACAAGAGGAGTCTAGATGACTGAAGATTTTGGGCTGAACACCCATGTGGTAACGCATTGAAATAGGGAGGCTGGGAGAAGAGCAGGTTTGGGGGCAGGTTCCATTCTGGCCGATTAAGTTTGAAAGGCCTGGCAGTCATCCAGGTAGAGCTGTCCAATAGGCATATCCAACTTCACATGTCCCAAATCTCTCACCCACTCGCTCTGCTTCCTCACCTGGAAAACAGGTAATGGTGTCTTCCCTTCATGCCTCACAGAGCTATTTTAAGGATCCACTGTAGTTAAGGGAACTTCCAAGTTTTCGGCCTGTTATGGGAGAGTAAGCTTTTATTAGGTCAGACGAGGAAATGGAGGCCCAGAGAAGTTAAGTGGCTTGACCAGAGTCATCCAGCCTGGATTAGAACTTGAGTCTCCTGATGGACAGTCATGGTGCCTCATGGCATCACGCTCTGCTATTTCTTCCCTCCTTTGCTTGGTGGTACTGCCTGGTCCGGTGCTCAGCGGGTTGAGGGTATCTAAGGCGGTCCTGTCTGTTCCTCGTATCCCCCTTGTGAAGAATTTTCTATTCTCATCAGTTGCTGGGGAGCCACAGTCCATCCATCCACATACTGATACCCAGAGTCCCTTGGGCAGGTGGGTCCTTCCTTGTCCTCAGTGTTTTAGGAAATTAGGGGTTGAAGCTCTAAGGCAGAGATCACAAACTGGTTGGCCTACCAATATTGTTTTAATTTAACTAGTGGTCAGCAGTTTTTGTTTTAAAGTCAGGAGATTTCACATAAAACCTAGACTTCTGGCTTTTCTTGACAAATGGGAAGATTTCCTGGTAACAATCCAGCAGAGGTGAGTAGGCCCACCTCTTGAGGCAGGGCATGCATTCTTCATGTCACCACAGGCCCTGCCATTCCCCAGTGTTTCCCAAGAGTGCGGCTGGCAGTCCAACTCAGCGTGACACACTGGCTCGCTTTGCTCACTTACATAACCTGCCGGGCTCTGTAGGCATCTGAGCGTGCAGGTCCCCATCTGAGGGGCAATAACCTGGTGGCTGAGTTGGCAGATAGGGGGCTGGAGGTCCTGCCTCAGCTCCAAGGGTACTGGGATTTCCCTCCTATCTCCCTGACTGAGCATGAAGGCAAAAACCTGGGAGAACCCATGTGCACCAGCTGACAGCAGCACTGTGGGAATTCTGACTCAACTCCGCCTAGAGCCCGACATGGCTACAGAGAGGAGAGGCTGGGGAAATGAATCTCTCAGCTTCCCTGTCTGATTTTGATCAGCTCCACCTGGATTTCTTTGAAGCCCTGGGCACTTGAAGGAGTTATTATTTTCACAGCTGCAGAACTCAATGAGAAGTTTGCACTGAGAATGATTTCCATCCTCCTTGAGACATCAAAAAGATAATTTCGTAATAAAACCTATGGGTTCCCCACCCACCGTCCCCACCGCTGCCAATTCTGAGGTTAGCTCTTCACTGGAACCTTCAGTTCCCGCTCTGGCCGACGCTGCCCACCCCTCGCACGGGGGAGTCATACACAGACCTTTACTTCTGCAGAGCTCCTGAGTCTCTTGAGGGTTCTTGGCCCCAAACAAGGCAGTAAATGGACTCCAAATGGAGCAGTTGGCGGTGTGGACTGTGAGGAAACTGAGTCACATATACGGTCTTGTATTAGTTCAGCAAACATCTAAGAGCCTACTGTGCACCGGTTCCCAGGCTGCTTTCTGGGCCCAGAGCCGGCTGGAGCCCTCTCCAGGGCTGTGGGCCCAGGTCTTCACACCCCTGTGCTATTGTTCCACACAATCTGTGGCTCCCCTGTGTGCAGAGCCTGGCCTCCCCAAGCAGGCCGGGCAGGGAACACGCCCAGCGCCATGGCTCAGGACAGGGGGCACACTGGGAATACACAGGCGTTTTGTATCTCAGTGACTGTGTGGGCATCTACCTTGATGGTCCCGGCTGGGCTCTCTTTGGTCCCTCTTTGTCTCTAACAATTAGGAGCGTGGCTCTGATATCAGGCTGCCCGTGTTTGAATCTTGGTTCTACCACTTACTGGTTGGATACCTCGGTCAAGCCATTTAATTTCCCTAAGTCTCAGTGTCCTCATCTGTATAATGCGGGGAGGGGGTAATAATAGCTCCTGCTTTGTAGGATTAGTATGGAGATTACGTAAATGACTTAATGCACACATAGTCTTAGAGCGGTGCGTGACATGTAGCAACACTCAACAAATGTTGGTGGTTATCGTCATCATTCTCTGAGCCCTCTACCTAGACAGAGCCTGCTGGCCAAGCCAGGCACCATCACACACACACTACCTGCACCCTAACCCTAACTCTCCCCAACACATCTGTCTGCGTCTTGACTTTCTAACTCACAGACTCATAGGACTTGTCCACTCTAGGTCTCTCCCGGACTACTTAAACCTTTCTGGGTAATAGGAAGTGTACTATGTTTTATGTAGCCTGTTTCAGCTACTCTAGCTCCTTCTTTCAGCCACCTTAAACCAGAAAGAGGACACTCCTTATACATCCCTCTCTATTCACTTCTTGTTCTCCCTCTGGGGCTCAGCTTCCTTGTTATATTGGCCCCTCCCCAGCCCACCAAAGCTAACCTGGGACAGAAATCTTCAAGCTCAGCAGGTGTCAGTGTGTCCCAGAGGCTGCCCTGACTGGGGGAGAACAAACGAAGCTGGGATCTAGAGTTTATGGGAGAAGGGATTGGGCTGGTTTTTAACTAGTAGAACTGGGACATCCAGGTCTGCCTTTTGCTGACTGGAATCTCTGGGCTTGGGCCATTCTGCGCATGAGAAGGGTGCTGAGGAGGCCTGGACTCTGGGGTTTTCCCTGCTGACATCAGATTTCTGGAAGACCCCAGGTTGGCCCCAAGGCTGGATGCTCACACAGAACTAGGGTGACCTCCAAGAGCAGGGCATCAATCAGATCCCTGAGGCGCTGACCCTGACTTCAGAGGTCATACCCCCACGACCTCTCCCATACCTGACCATAGCTGGCTGCTGCCCCGGATCAAGAGAGCTTCCCCGATTGAGTCTTACCCACCAGGACGGACATGATACCAGACTACCTGGTTTCCCTGCACAAAACTACTGGATTCAGTTCAAATTTTTCATTCCTTATTCCTCCTTTTTTTCCTTCCACTTTATGCAACCCCTTTAACTAGTTTCCTTGCTTTCCCAATTTTAGTTACCAAAATACCCGATCCCACAGCCAATAGGAGAAAGGGCCAGAGCTGGCCTTTTTGCCCCCACAACATCAGCCACCAAACCCTGGTGCCTCCAGGCTTCCTCACACTTGTTTTCTCCGAGCTCATGCCATCTGGGCCCTCGGCCATGGCCCTCTGCCTTCTCTTCCTGCCTGTTCTCTAATTTCACAACCGTCTTCCTGAGCCAGTGGCTGTCCTCAGTGAGCCATCCACAGCCCCGCTGGATACATTTACAACTCCCCCGTTAAGGTGAACAAGGATTGCCAAAGAAGAAACTCTAAGTAATCTTGACCTCATCATGTCCTTGTTCCTGAAGGAAAATATAGCCAAGCATAACTGAGATTTGCATCTTATCTCCTCTGGAATCTACCTCTCTCTGTCTGTCTACAGTTGTAGCCCTGGTAGAAATGGTGGCCTCTTCCACCTTACCGATTCTGCTGCTTGCTTGCTGGAGACCTTGCTCTAGCCTTGCTTTCTGAATTTTAATCCTAGAGCTCAGCCTGTGCCCCTTCCTCCCATCTTGTGGCCTTTTGAATCACAGCCTCTCTACCCCACAGTTCTTTAGTTTTCCCCTTTCCCTGGTCTCTTCCAGGCACTCTGCCTCTCTCCTCCGTCCTTTCACAGCTAGAATATCTCCTCTCTCAACCGACATGTATGGGGTGTGACTGGTTTTCTCCTTTCCTGTACCCTCATCCTTTTGCCCCCTAGTAGGCTGGTGACATTTTTTTTTTTCCTAAACCATTCTTTGAAAATAGATGACTATGAAAATTCTCCTTCATGGTGCCCACTAGTTTATGCCTCCATTTGGTTGTTTGTAACATGACAGAAATTTGTGGAATGTGGCAGCATGAGCGTGAAGGTCTGCTATCGCCTTGGAAGCACTTTCTGTCACCTGTGAGCCTCAGTCTAACTCAGTTCCTATGACTGCCTGTGGCGGCAGAAGCCCTGGCTCTTCTGTGTGTGACTGGTGGGTACCCTTCTTCATCACACAAACTGCTTTTCTCACCATTGCTGTGTCTTATTTTGCAGAATCCAACTTAGGTCTGGAAATCAGCATTCATTGTCCATGTCACACCTTTCAGCCCAATGGGGATATCCTGGAAAACATTCAAGAGGTGATGGAAATCAAGTTCAAAGGTAACAAAATGGATGTGTATATGGTAGAATGGGTGGGGGAGTTCATGAAGCAAGACAGAACAGGAAACCCCTACCAGACCCCAAGGAAAGGAACCAAGTGAGCTCCCGCACGGAGATGGCCAACTGTTTTGCACTTGAGGGATTCTGCTTTGTCCCAAAAGCAGGAACTCTCTATTCTATAGAGAAATACATTAGCATCTGGAAGACAGTGTTATGCTAGTAAGAGCCGTGAAATCATGTAGGCAAGCTGGTCCACTTCTCTGAGCTCAGTCAGCAAACTGGGGATGACAGTACCTCTTTCACCAGGTTGTCATGAAATCAAATGCGATAACGAATGTAAAATAGAGTGCATGGATGCTCAGCAAATGATAGTTGTCTTTGCTTTCCCTAAAAGAAATGAACTTTGGTGGCTGTGAATACGAGCACTCTGACTATTGGGCTTTGCAGATGTCGCAGAGCCCACGCGATCTGACATCCGGGTTTGAACGACTGCTTTGGGCCTCAGGGTATTTGCATTGAGGGCAAAATAGTTGAGAGTCATTTCTGGTTTTCCAGTCTGTTTCCAAGGCACTCAGCCTAGACAGTCTCTGGATTCCAGGGAAGTACTATTTTCCTTTCTAAGCTCTGTTGTGGGTGACTGAGGCACACCTGAGGCCAGGAGGTTTGTCAAGGTCAAACCAACCAATTCAAAGCCTGAGGTCAGAGGCGTGTCTGGAAAAAGGTACAGGCCTCTCTTGACTCCCAGCCCTGAGCAGTCCTTTGACCCTTCATGGGCCTTATTTCAGAGCCTAATTTTTTTAAAAGCACATCATTTGACATCCTAATCACAGAAACTCAGAGCTCAAAAGACCTTGGAGTCCCTACCTGCAGCCCGGGTTGGGTTGAAATCCTCCCACTTCACTAATCGTTATCTTGTTCATAAAGATTTTCAGAAAAAGAAGTTTGAGGTCCAGCTTCCCATTTATCTTCCAGTCCCAGTGCCCCTGCGTGAGGTCCAAGTCCCTCCTGTCACCATGCAAATTCATCTCCTCACGTTCCTATCCCTGGTAGAGATGGACCACAGCCAGCAGCTGGCCGTCGCAAAGTAGATCTTCTTTTACTTGAGACTCTAATTCAGTTTTCAGTCTTTGCAGATGAAATGGCAAGTTTCCTTTCCAGTTTGTCTGCTAAGCTGTTCACCATACACTTCATGATCTTATCTGAGTTTTATAGAGAAAACACTTTTGAAACTATAAGTGCAATGCGAATATTAACAATTATTCATTCTTGTTCTTCTGGCTCCCATTCAAACTGTCTTAAATTGTGACACCTGAAATCATAGGTAGGACTTCTGTGCTATTTTTGACCAATTCAGATTATAAGAGGAAACTCATATCCCAAGCTCTAAGTCTCAGAATCTAAACTGACAGCTCAAAAAAATGTGTTAGAGCTGCCTAGTGACAAGGATGCTTCATGAATCCCTGTGGATTCCCCAGGAAGCATCTCGGGAAGGGCTCTCTGCCCTCTGAAGGACGTATGCACAGGAGTCACGAGGGGGTCTGACCGGGGGCATCTTGTGCGTCCCTAGATACCGGTTCCTCCACCCAGTCTTCCCCTTCCTGCAGCTGGACGTTAGCATGAAGCTGCATCTCACCCACCCCTTCCTTGTAGACCCCACTGTCCCTCCTCCTGAACAGTGGGGGGATGGGATGAGAAAGCAGCAGCCACCCTGCCTTCCCTAGACAGGAGACCATCATCTTCCTTCCCTTCCACAGGTGTGGACAGTGAGGATGATCCAGGCAGAGGAGATCTGGGGCGACTGAAGAAGAAAAAGGAACACAGCCCTCATTTAATCCTCATGATGATTCCCCCAGACCGGCTGGACAACCCAGGCCAGGGAGGTCAGAGGAAGAAGCGGGCCCTGGACACCAATTACTGCTTCCGGTAAGCCTGGGCTCACGCAGGACCCACAGACTCCTGAGACAACATTGATTGCACGCCTTCTATGTGTCAGGCCCAAGGCCTAAGCCACCCCCAACTGAGGGTCCCTGATGCTCTTCACAAACATCTCCCAGGAATGGAGATTTAGAACCTCTTATAAATCTTTTTCTGGGAGCCCCACTGTTTTCCCACAGCCCAGCCCTGTAAGGGCCTGGACAAAGTAAAGGAGGAGGAGAGAGTTGCTAAAACGGTTTGGATTAGAGGCTTGGCCTCTCCATGGTTTTCATGCTTTAGAATACTTGTAGGGTATGTTTGTGTGGCAGGGAGATTAATGCAGAGATTTCCATTAAAGAAGCGCTCAGTTCCCTGTGAAGGGTCCAAGGATGCTACTGGATGAGGGAAAACAGGACAGTCTCCATTTGCAGTGGGGAATGTGAGCTAGGGAAATTATGAACTAATTTGGAAATAGTTGGGTAGCCATTGTAAAGAGATTAAAAAATAGCATCTTATTTAGGAATACTTTAGTTTCTCATTTATAAGGGAGGGGGATTAAGAAAGCACACACAGCAATTACTGAAAGGTAGAAAAAGACCACATCCATGAGAAGGTCTGAAAGATAAAGTGCTTTAAGGAATTTGGAACAAGGACCTCATCTATGGATGCAGGAAAGGCTTCTGAAGGGTGTGGAATTTGAGCCGAGTCTTCAAGGCTGAGTGAGGCTTGAGCATGTAGGGATATGGGAGGAGGAAGCACTTTGGGTAGAGGAAGGCGCACGAATGGGTCAGCTTGGCTGGAGAGGAGGATGCCCGAATGGAGCTGGGGAGGATGAAGTGGGAAATCTTTAGATCTAAAGCCATGTCTTCTGAGGAACAATGGAATGAACCGGGGATGTTGAGCTTGCGGAACAGAAGGTATAGGAAAGGCAGCGTGGTTGCCTCCGACTGAAGGCTGGCATGTAGATTTGTTCTGTGTGGCTCTCAGTCAGTTAGGAATGGATGTTCTTGGCTGCAAGTGACAGGGGCTTAAACCACAGGGGATTTCCTCTTCATAAGAAGCGTGTAGCAGCAGGCCCAAGGTTGGTCTGGATGCTTACTTATGCCACTGAGGACACAGGCTTTCTCTCTCTCCAGTCTGCCACGCTCAGTATGTTGGCTTTTCATCCCCTTGTTTATGGTCACATAGCAAGACTGCTAGAGCTCCAGGTATCCTGTCCATGCTCAAGACAAGAGGAGGGAAGGAGGTAACCAGCAGCCTTCCTCTTCCATCTGTGACTTATAAAGAATCAAATACCTGTGCCAGAATTTGCCCTCGCCCACTGCATACTTCTGCTTATGTCTGATCGGTCGTTGCTGGGTTACATGACCATCCCTACCTGCAAGGGAGGCCAGGAAAACAAGTATCTGGTGTTCCAGACTGTAATGGGCGGTGGCAAGAGAGAAGGCAGGGTAAGAATGGCTCTTGAGTAGAAAAGTGAGAATGTCTGCCACGGTTTACCCTCGGAACCCACAAGAAGCCAGATTTTGGCCAATAGTTGCCTTTGGAAGTAGCAAGTTCTAGGTCTCAGCAGGTACTGAAGGACAGGCCAGATGCCCACTTGGCAAGGGGTATTGCCAAACGGATTTCTGCAGGCAACGGAATTGAAGTGGCCTGATAATCACATTTGGGGTAATCTAGGAATCATGAATCTAATAGAAGGATATGTCTTGTTTGGATTCAGTAGCCTCTAGACTTAGACCAAGCAGTCATTTACTATAGTACATAAGTGCATAAGCTTAGAGTTTATTTCTGGTTGGGTGCACATTAGGCAGGTAACAATAAAACCAACCTCAACAAAGTCGGGTTTGCTAGTAACATTCAGTGCTTGGTTTTATGTGGAACACTTCAAGTCTTTGTTTTGATTCACGCTGTAAAAGGGGCATGGCCACTTCTGCCTTTTTTCTCTTCTTCATACGTTATCTATGTATGTGTATGTGCACGCCTACTATGTCCTTGGGATTCTGGTCTTCAACAGAGGAAAACGCTTTTATAGTTAGCACAGCTCAGTGCACTCGAACCTGGGAGTCCACTGATTAGAGCCACCTCTTATGATGACCAGGAAGGACTCCAAGTGCAAATATGAGGGCTATTTGTGAAGTTTTTTATGTTGGTGATTTCCTTTTAGGTTGATTTTTAAATAATTTCCGTTGTCGTTGTTGTAGCAATCTGGAGGAGAACTGCTGTGTGCGCCCTCTCTACATTGACTTCCGACAGGATCTGGGCTGGAAATGGGTCCATGAACCTAAGGGCTACTACGCCAACTTCTGCTCAGGCCCGTGCCCATACCTCCGCAGCGCAGACACTACCCACAGCTCAGTATGGAACAGGGTCATGCCGCGTGGGGGGTGGGGCTAAGCCAAGTACGCGGATGCGCGAAGGGCTGCGTGTTGAACGAGCCGATGACGACCTGGGGTGTAAAATCCCTTTGGTGACGGTTCCGATCTTGGCACCCTGGTCCAACTCTAGTGGGCCACATCCTACCCTTTAAAATTCCTTCCCTAGTTTCACCCAGACTTTTGAGTTGCTTTGTCTATTTGCTTTTGTAATATGGAAATTAATTACTGTCACATGCCACCCCCTATGTCAGAGATGCACATGGCTGGCAAGGAATATTGGGGCCGAAAGGCCTCTACTGTTGGATAAAGAACTCTAATAATTCTGGCCTCTTGAATGTAGAAAAGTTATTTTAAAAGACAATGTAAAGCACACAGAAGAAGACTATATGAAACAAAGGGAAAGAGAGGGAAGTCCACGACCGAACCTAGCTTGTCTTTCCCTCAAGAGGAATCCAAGATAGGGCAGTAACTTGTGAAGCGTATTTCCTCATAGCTCCTTGTTTCTGCATCCTGTCTGGGGCTCTGTACTCTGGCACTGAGTAAATGGCTCAAGGCAGTGTTTAGTGAGAATGGTTCTCAACAAAGTGACCAGTTACGGCTAGGAGGAACCAATACAGGGGGGTTTCTTCACAGCCAAGAGAATTTCATGATCAATTCCAAGTCCCCCAGTTATGGGGGTTATGCTTAAACCGATAACGCTCAGACAAACGCCACGTGCTGCATCCCGTGTGGATGAACAGTAACCTGCCACTCACCCGAACTGGGTTCCGCCAGTTCCTCTGAAGTAGCATCAGTGGCCCATTTACCACGCGCTCAGTCTCTGGAGCAGCCCCTAGACCTTGTAGAGTCCCTGGGCCCCTGGCCTGAGGTTCGGCTTTCCAACCTCTCAATGATGCCTCCCTCCCCAGGTGCTGGGACTGTACAACACCCTGAACCCTGAAGCCTCGGCCTCCCCTTGCTGCGTACCCCAGGACTTGGAGCCCCTGACCATCCTGTACTATGTCGGGAGGACCGCCAAGGTGGAGCAGCTCTCTAACATGGTGGTGAAGTCCTGCAAGTGCAGCTGAGGCCCGCCTGCTACAGAGAGAGAGGAGGGATTGCCACTGCCTGCCTGCCTGCTCCTCGGGAAACACAAAAGCGATGGACCTCACCTTGAGGCCTGGCCCACAACCTTCAGCTCCAGGCAGATGGCTGAGATGGGGGTTCCCTTTTGGAACATTTCTCTTTCTTGCTGGTTCTGAGAATCACTGTAGTAAAGAAAGTGTGGATTTGATTAGGGGAAGGTTGAACTCTACAGAACACATGGATTTTCTGTGTCATAGACAGAGGTGGTGGGGACAGAGGAAGAGGGATGGCAAGTCGACACGTCGCAGGGCCATGGGATTTGGGATACCCTAGGGAGGAGGAAGGGCAGAGAATGGCCGGGGGGCCAGACTGGAAGACACTTGGAGCTGAGGTCAGATTGCTCATCCATCACTGCCCCACGTCTGCTCGAGGGGACCTGGATTACGTCATACAAGGCAAGTGTTTTTCTTCAGGCAGGTTCCCAAGACAAAGTCCCAGAATTGTATCTCACTACTTACCTGGGATTATGGACAAATCTGTTAGTTTTGCAAATTGTCCCCTGGACGTCAATCAGCATCAAGGGTCATTACGGGGTTGGGGGGGGAGGGCGGAATCCAGGTAATGCAGTTCCTGGGCCCTGTGGATATGCTGAACTCAGAAGCAGAGGGTGGGAATTAACCCTCTCTGGTCTGCCCCCTGGGTTCCTCCTCTCGCCTTCTTCCTAGATCGTATTTCTCCTTGGACATTTGGCTAGACACCTTCCAGGTCAGGGTGCACATATCTGGATTTTGGGTCTCTGCAGCCTTTGGGCATTATGGGTTTCCCCTCCTGACCCCCCGAGACCTTGTGCTCATCTGGTGTTCCTGGAAGCAGGTGCTACAACGTGTGAGGCGTGCGGGGAAGTTGCACAAGTGCCACACAATGACTTGGCCCCAGACGCATAGACTGAGGTATAAAGACAAATACAAATATTACTCTCAAAATCTTTGTATAAATAAATATTTTTGGGGAATCTTGGATCATTTCATTTTCTGGAAGATTGTTTCTAAACAATAAAAGCCTTATTCTAAGGTGTAAGTCTGACTCAATGTGTCCTTAATTACCCTCTTCTTAATTCCATGTTCACATCTAATGATCAGAGGTAACTGGAATCGGGGGCTGAAAATCTCAAACATGGAAACATTGCTGACCGTGAATTCCCCTGACAGTGACACGCTGCACTGCCTTCTGCCATCTGAGAGGGCTGCACTACTGTTTGTGTTCCCTTTCGTCTTGGATACATTATCCTCAGACACACAGAGGCAGTGGCTCAGATGTGCAGAAAGCATATGAATTTGACCTCCATTTAGTTGTGGGCAAAGTCACTTGGGGTGATTTCACATATGGAAATGTGCTGGTTTGTACATTCACTATAAATTCAGTTGAGAATTAGAGAAACTGTCTGTGGCAAATGGCCTAAGAATATGAGGCTAATTCTGTTACCAGGTTGAGCCTAAAAGAGCTCACCAGGGACTCCTTTTCAGAGGATGGGCCTCTTGTCAGGGATTTGGGAACGGGGGAGGGCAAGAAAAGCGCAATCCCATAGTTCTCTTATGAGGTCATGGATGCCAGAGCAATGCAGCATTCTATTGTGGCTTCATGTCCACCTGAAGCAACCATCTGCAATAAGTGAGGAACCATCTAGCAGCTCCTGAAAAACACGTTCCTCTAGAAATTACTTTACCACTGGTCAAAAAGAAGTCTATCTGAAGCTAACATTTTGAAGGTGGAAGGATGTGTACAATATGCTCGTGTCTGGAGTCGTCCCAAATTAAACTCCTGAATTTGGTCACTGAGACTCTTTTCCTGCTTCACCTATGCTCAGGCAGTTCTAAGTGCTCCTCTCTCAGACTTCATCCTAGCGGCACCCATTTACTTCCACTCTATTTCAGGAACTATGTCCCTGCTGTAAAATCATATCTGGTGGCACTGTGCTCTATCTTACCCAAGGGAGCCAGTGGGTATGAAGAGGGGATGCAGCATGCCTAGCTCTTCAGCCATGGCCATAGCCAGCCCAAATTTCAGTCTATTCATTGATGGCAGTCCTTCTCAAATTTCAATGGGCAGAAGAATCACTCAGGTGCTTATTTAAAATGTACAATTTCAGGCTGCAGCTTTAGAGGTGACTTTAGAACTGGGGTAGGTCCAGCCTACCTAAAAACTGTATTTTGAGAAGCAGTGCCTTATACCTGACATCGTTGGTCCTTGAGGCTTAAATGAGGAAGAGGGAAATAATCTTACAGGGCCTAGAATAAACATTTTTTTTTCTTTTTGGCCGCACTGCGGCATGTGGGATCTTAGTTCCCCGACCAAGTATCAAACCCGAGCCCCCAGCAGTGGAAGCGCAGCGTCTGAACCACTGCACTGCCAGGTAAGTCCCAAACCCTCCTTTTTATCCAACCCCATCAGACATCATTAGAACGTTGGCCTGAGGGTTCATCCTAATGAACCAAGGCAATGAGCAGTGTTTCCTGAAGTATCCCAAAGGAAACAGACCCACTGTGATCCCAAATCTTCTTTTTATGTTAGACTCTATTCTTATCTTAGCTGATACAAATATGGGCAGGGGTCTTCAGCCTTTTCTAGAAACTCAGAGTCAGCATTATTAGTATTCCCAGCCTCCCCATTCGACATGTCACTTACAGGCACTATAGAAACTTAAACCATTTGTCTGTCCATCTGTAAAAATACGTGCCTGTTTTGGGGAAGGGTAAGGAGGGACACTACTGTTGGAGGGAGGATCATATGATTTGCCTGGTTTGTTACCAAGAGAAGTCCAATACCAATAATAATGACACTAAAGTACTTGGGTAAATGAAGGAAGAGATCTGGAGTCTGGTCTTACACCTGATCAGCACATGGTGAATGCAGTAAGAAATTCAGCCTGAGGATTCAATTCTGATGGTTACCTAGGGCAATTCCAAACACTCTAGTTGGTCTAAAAGTTCTTTTACTGGACATATACCCTCTTATGCTTTTTTACAAGAACCGTATGGTGAGTCTCCCCAAACACCTTTTTTCCCAATTCTACACATCAGCAGGGGACTATGAAGGAATTCTAATTTGTCTACTAACCAATTCATAACCAAATTAGCAAAACAGTTAAGATGGTCCTCAAACTACTAACCAGAAGTCACAGGAACACCTGGAATGCTCTCTTTTCTCCCGCAACTGACAGACTTCATCCCTCACAAGCAAACAGAATGCTTCAATGGGCTCAAACCTGTTTTCATTCACCAGGAAGGCAATAGAGCCCTTCTTCTCTTTGCCTTTTTGGGGGTCCTTTTTCTTTTAGGATTTCAATGCTGAATCTATAGGACTTTGTTGTGGAAACCCCAGATGCTGGATTCTCCCCCAATAACTCCTTGTGGCAGCTAAGTCAACCTTCAATGGGCTCTGCAGTCACCTTTCAACCTTTTCTCCAGTGGAGGCCAGAGAGAGGACCTAGGACAGATGAGGAAGCAGGAAAGCAGAGGTAAAGCAGAGGGAAAGCAGAAAGCAACCAGGGAGCTGAGCTGCATCGTTCTGATGAGCTGTTTAGGTAAACACTGTGCAACTGGATACAGATTCACGTGCCACTGGAGGACCCGTCTGCTGGGGTCTGATAATGGAGACATTTGCACGCCCCAGCCTCCCAGGTGCTGGAGCTGCCCCTGGGGAAGAGCCTGGACCCACCATCTGTTGAAACCAAATATAAGAATAAAACATCTCTTTATAGCTCACATTTCTTACCTGAAGTTTAAAAAATTGCCCAGCAATGAAATAAAATGAGAAGTTGGGCCTATTTCAGTCTCGTCTGTGAATACTGATTGTTTGGAACTTAGTAAATGGAAAAAAAAGAAAATAAAAATAGACTTACTTTATTCATTTTAGAAATCAGTAATTCCAAAGGGTGCCTTTACCATGGCTCATGTGGTCAGCAGCACACGGACTTTTTTTCACTCTCCGGGAAACTTGTGATATAAACTCCCCCTTTCCCCCAAACCCTCTTGCAAGGGAAGAACAACTTTGGTACATAATGTTGTTGGGATTTTAGGCTTTTGGGAGGTAAAGCTTAATGCTGCAATCTGGAAAAGAAGAGGAAGCAAAATGCAAATAGCCAAAGAGCCTCTTTTATATCATCTCTGTGTGGTAGCAGAAGAGGGACAGAGAAGACCTAAGCAGGTGGGAGAAGGGGTGAAAGGGGTAAAAGATACACGTGTGCTCTGATGGGGTATATATCGCTTCCGCTGAATGTCCCCACTGCCAAGTTCCACTGAAACCGAGCTGACATGTTTTCCTGTCGTCTCAGGAAAAGTCTGGATTGGCTGATAGGTAACAATCTACTGCCACTTCTGCTGGTAGGCACTGGGGACTGAAACAGCAAAAAAAAAAAAAAATACTCTGGACCCCTTGCAGCACTGGCGGATGCTTCACTGGAGTCACGCACCCAGGAGTAGTGGAGTAGTGGATAGGCTCCTCCTCCGCGTGTCTGTGCTTCATCTTTTAGTGTGAGCGGGATCTGAAAAAGAGGAAGTCAACCAACCACTGAGTATCTGAAATGAGCACGTGGGGTTTTACTAATTTACAGGAATGTTTGGATTAGTTAGCATTACTGAAGAATAAAGTAGCTGTGGCCCAAATACATGAAGATCACTTTGAAGTAAAAAGCTATTAATTTTAACTACTTTTGTTGGAAACGGTTCTAAAACACTCCCATCCTGCTGCTGCTTCTTTGTTGTGTCGTTTTCTTAGTTTCTCCCGACCCCCCATAAGAACATTTTATCCCTTCTGCTTCTTAAATAAAAGATGCTAAGTAAGTTAGCCTCTTCTAGAAACTCAGAGTCAGCATTATTAGCATTCAATATTGAACCACATGGAAGAATTGCTCTATGTACGCTCTAGAGTTTGTCTAAATCTTCCCTCCGTGCTGGGTTATCAGATAACGCTCTGCCTTGTACCCCCTGCCTCCACCCCCAAAATACACATCTACATTTCTCCATCCAGTTTAAGAAAAGGAACATTACTATTACCCTAAATCCCCTGTGAGACCCTCCCAATTCTTTCTCATTTCCACTATCTTGAATTTTGGGTTTATCTTCCCCTTGTTTGCTTTTAAAAAACAGGTCTATTTACTACGTATACTTATATCCCTACACATTTTATTTTAGTTTTATGTGGTTTTGAATTTTATAGTGCTATTTTATTATGTGACTCTTCTTGTATGTGATCTCAGTACACAACTGGAAGAATTTCTTTAGATAGATACTTAGGAGTGGAATTGTTGGGTCATAAATACTTGCATCTTCAACCCTCTAAAAATAATGCCAGCTTATTTTCCAAAGCAATTGTACCAATTCATACCCCCTCTGCCGGTGGATGAGCTTCCCCCCCAACCTCAACCTCCTCTACATGTGGAGAAGCGGTATTGCCTGAATTTAAAATTTTTGCGAATCAAGTGAGGATATGGTGGTACCCTACTGTGGTTTTAGTTAGCAGCAGACTGATTAGGAATGAGGCTGAGCATCTTCTCAAGTATCTAGTATCACACACACATGTTTTGTCTTCTGCAAAATGCCTTTTGCTTATTTTCCTATCGAGTTGTTGCTTCTTGATGTTTTTAAACAGCTCGGTTGAGATATAATTCCACACCATTCAATTTACCCATTCAATGTGTAAAATTCAGTGACTTTTAGTATATTCAGAGTGCATCCATCACCACTATCAAGTCTAGAACATATTCATCGAAAGGAAATGGAAACCCACATCTCAGCCATCACCCCCATACATCTCATCCCCCCAGACCTAGGCAACCATTAATCTACTTTCTGTCTCTATAGATTTGCCTATTCTGGACATTGCATATTAAGTGGAATCATATAATATGTGGTCCTTTGTGTCTGGCTTCTTTCACTTACCATAATGTTTTCAAGGGTCATCCACATTGTAGCATGCATCAGTATGCTATCCCTTTTAATGGCTGAATAATACTCTATTGTGTATATATACTATATTTATTTATTCACTCATAAGTTGATGGGTATTTGGGCTGTTTCTACACCTTGGATATTATTAATAATGCTGCTGAAAACATTCAAGTGGAAGTTTTTGTTTGGACATATGTCTTCATTTCTGTTGGGTTATATACATATTGCTGGGTTATAATGGTAACTCTATGTTTAATGGTTTGGGGACCTGCCAAACTGTTTCCCAAAGCAGTTGCACCATTTTGCATTTCCACAAGCAGAGTATGAAGCTTCCAATTTCTCCACATCCTCAACACATGTTATTGTCTTTTTTTGAATACTGCCATCCTGGTGGGTATGAAGTGGTATTCTGCTATGCTTTTGATTTGCATTTCCCTAGTAGCTAATGCCATTGAGAATGTTTTCATATGCTAATTGGCACTGTATATCTTCTGTGCAGAAATGCCTTGTTCAGATCCATTGCCCATTTAAAAAATTGAGTTGTCTTTTTAATCACTGAGTTTTAAGACTTCTCTACATATTCTAGATACAAGTCCCTTATTACATACATAATTTGCAAATATTTTCTCCCATTCTGTGGGTTGTCATTTCGACGGTGTCCTCTGAAGCAAAAAATTTAAAAATTTTGATGATGTCCAGTTTGTCTATTTTTTCTTTTGTTGCTTATGCTTTTGATGTCATATCTAAGAAACTATTTATTGATTTTTAAAGTTCTTTGCTTAATACCTGGATACTAATTTTTTGAGGGTGTGTGGCAAACACCGTCACCAAGTTTGTGACTTGTTTCTTCAATCTCTTTAGGGTATCTTTTTTTTTTAAAGAGGTTGTTTCATGATTTATTAATTTATAAGGAAAGTCCTGTTCAGAGATAAAAATTAGATTGCATTTAGATATACACTTAACAAGTGACCTTTTCAGAAAATGATTTTGTTTTAAATGTTAAAACTTGCAGAAAATCCAGGGCAGTCACCATAAAAATGGATGGTTTCTTTAAAAAACTTTTTAAAATAAAAAATTTCAAACATACACACAAACTAGAATAGTATGACACCTTCCTGTTCTCATCCTCTAGCTTCGATAATTATCAACGTCCTACCATTTTTGTTCCATCTCTCTCCCCATGTTTTTTCTCCTGGAATACTTCAAAGAAAACCCAAGATAACGCATCATTTCACTCATAAATACTTTAGCATGTATTTCTAATAGAGAAGAACTTAAGGATAAAAGGAACACAAAACAAAAACCCCACAACATCTTTATGGTGTCTTAGAACAGAAGTTCCTAATTTGAACAAAGTCAAATTGATCAGTTTTCACCTTTCTAGTCTGCACTTTCTGGGTCTAATTTAAGAAATCTTTCCCTTACATTATGGTCATAATGTATTGTCCTATAACGTCTTACAAAAATACTGACACTTTTGCCTTTTGTATTTAAGCTTTTAATTCAAACTAAAATTGTGTAGGGTATGAAGAACAGATCTACTTTCATTTTTTTCCCACACAAGGAAGTCTCCCTTGATAATAATCTTGATAATAATTTTTGGTATCTAGTAAGACAAGTCACACATGGCTCCCTATCTCTCATTTCCATTATTTAAGAGTATAAGGGTTAGGCTTGACCCTTTTCTCTTTCATGTAAATTTCAGAATCAACTTAAGTTAAAAAAAAAAAAAAAAAAAGAACAATTAATATCCTGGCCAATCTATAGATAAATTTTGGGATGAACTGACATCTTACCAAACTGACTTTTAATCTATGAACATGTTTCTCTCTCCATTAATTTTTTTTAAGTGACTCTCCATAGGGTTTTATAATTTTTTAAAATTGGAATATAATTGCTTTACAATGTTGTGTTAGTTTCTGCTGTACAATGAAGTGAATCAGCTATATGTATACATGTATCCCCTCCCTCTTAGACCTCCCTCCCACCCCCACCCCCCCATCCCACCCATCTAGGTCGTCACAGAGCACCGAGCTGAGCTTCCTGTGCTCTATAGCATGTTCCCACTAGCTATCTATTTTACGCATGGTAGTGTATATATGTCAATCCTAATCTCCCAATTCGTCCCCCACTCTCCTCACCTGCCCCATGTCCACATGCCCGTTCCCTACATCTACGTCTCTATTCCTGCCCTGCAAATAGATTTATCTGTACCATTTTTCTAGATTCCACATGTATGTGTTAATATACGATATTTCTTTTCCTCTTTCTGGCTTACTTCACTCTGTATGACAGACTCTAGGTCCATCCATGTCTCTACAAATGACCCAATTTCGTTCCTTTTTATGGCTAATATTCCATTTTATATATGTACCACAGCTTCCTTAGCCATTCATCTGTCGTTGGACATTTAGGTTGTTTCCATGTCCTGGCTATTGTAAACAGTGCTGCAATGAACATTGGGGTCCATGTGTCCTTTTGAATTATGGTTTTCTCAGGGTATATGCCCGGTAGTGGGATTGCTGGGTCATATGGTAGTTCTACTTTTAGTTTTTTAAGGAACCTCCATACTGTTCTCCATAGTGGCTGTATCAATTTACGTTCCCACCAACAGTGCAAGAGGGTTCCCTTTTCCTCACACCCTCTCCAGCATTTATTGTTTGTAGATTTTTTGATGACTACTATTCTGACTGGTGTGAGGTGATAACCTCATTGTAGTTTTGATTTGCATTTCTCCAATAATTAGTCATGTTGAGCATCTTTTCATGTGCCTCTTGGCCATCTGTATGTCTTCTTTGGTGAAATGTCTATTTAGGTCTTCTGCCCATTTTTTAATTGGGTTGTTTGTTTTTCTGATATTGAGCTGCATTAGCTGTTTGTATATTTTGGAGATTACTCCTTTGTCAGTGGCTTCGTTTGTAAATATTTTCTCCCATTCTGAGGGCTGTCTTGTTTATGGTTTCCTTTGCTGTGCAAAAGCTTTTAAGTTTCATTAGGTCCCATTTGTTTATTTTTGTTTTTATTTTCATTACTCTAGGAGGTGGGTCAACAAAGATCTTGCTGTGGTTTACGTCAGAGTGTTTTTCCTATGTTTTCCTTTAAGAGTTTTATACTGTCCGGTCTTACATTTGGGTCTTTAATCCATTTTGAGTTTATTATGTTTGTGTATGGTGTTAGGGAGTGTTCTAATTTCATTCTTTTACATGTAGCTACCCAGTTTTCCCAGCAGCACTTATTGAAGAGGCTGTCTTTTCTCCATTGTATATTCTTGCCTGATTTGTCATAAATTAGGTGACCATAGGTACGTGGGTTTATCTCTGGGCTTTCTATCCTGTTCCATTGATGTATATTTCTGTTTTTGTGCCAGTACCATACTGTCTTGATTATTGTACCTTTGTAGTATAGTTTGAAGTTGGGGAGCCTGATTCCTCCTGCTCTGTTTTTCTTTCTCAAGATTGCTTTGGCTAT